AGGACTACAGGCGCCTGCCACCACGCCCGGCTAATTTTTTATATTTTTAGTAGAGACGGGGTTTCACTGTATTAGCCAGGACGATCTTGAACTCCTGACCTCAGGTGATCTACCGGCCTTGGCCTCCCAAAGGGCTGGGATTACAGGTGTGAGCCACTGCACCCGGCCTGAATCTGCATTTTAAAAGATTCCCAGGTGTTGTATGTGTACGCTAACTTTCGAGAGGTCTTCTATTGTGTGTTTCTATTGTAGCATGAGTTATACTGTTTTGCAGTAATCCATGTTTGTTTTCTCCTCTGGACTGTGAGTTTCTTTAGGTCAGGGTCAGGGTTCATGCCCCATTCAGGAGCCAGCTGATGCTAGGGCAACAGGAATGGAGCCCAGATACTTGTTTGACCTTCAGTGTTCTTCAGACCTGGGATCTAGGCCTGTGACAAAGAGAAGGGCTACAGAAGTAAAGTTCTTTTCAAACATTATTTTGCTTTATCTTCTCAAAGATATATATTTTTTTGTTTTTGTTTTTTGAGACAGGGTCTCACTCTGTTGCCCAGGTTGAAGTGCAGTAGTGTGATCACAACTTACAGCACCCTCGGCCTCCCGGGCTCAGGTAATCCTCCCACTTCAGCCTCCCAAGTACCTTGAACTATAGGCATGCACCACCATGCCCAGCTAATTTTTGGATTATAGGCTCCTGCACCTAGCCACAAATATATTGTTAAACAATGCATATCCTTTCTTTTCCCATTTAAGATGAATTCCAGTGAGAATCAAATGGCAACATGAACAAGGGTTTGTGTGTAAGACTGTTCCTAATTATAAACAATTATAAAAACTTGGCTAGGCGTGGTGGCTCATGCCTGTAATCCCAGCACTTTGGGAGGCTGAGGAGGGTGGATCACGAGGTCAGGAGATTGAGACCATCCTGGCAATGGTGAAACCTCGTCTCTACTAAAAACACAGAAAATTAGCTGGGCATGGTGGTGGGCAATGTAGTCCCAGCTACTCGGGAGGCTGAGGCAGTAGAATGGCGTGAACCTGGGAGGTGGAGCTTGCAGTGAACCGAGATCGCACCACTGCACTCTAATCTGCGCAACAGAGCAAAACTCCGTCTCAAAAAAAAAAAAAAAAATTAAATTATAAAAACTTAAATGTCTAACTATATGGAACCATTAAAAATAGTGTTATATGAATATATATTTAGAAAGATATATAAATACAGAAATTTTTATAATTTAAAAGTTTATAAAGTATGTACTTTTTTGTATTTTTAGTAGAGATAGGTTTCGCCATGTTGCCCAGGGTGGTCTGGAACTCCTGGACTCAAGGGACCCACTCAGTGCCTCAGCCTCTGGAAGTGCTGGGATTATAGGCGTGAGCCACTGTGCCTGGCTGTTGTTTATTATTATTTTACCCAGGTGGCTAAAAGCCACACTGCTTAACACAGTGACATCCTTCACTGGCTTCCTTACAGATAACATTCCTGAGGTATATGTTGCTATGGTAATTAATGATTGCTTAGGTTGCTTTTCAGGAACTTGGGGACAGCTCCTGTCCAGTTCAAACTGGCTGAGACCACTAACCCTTCAACTTGGCATGTGCAAATGGCCATGAGGTAGCCTTCTGACATCACGGGGACAAAAACTCTACCCTCTGATGATGCTAATGCAGCCATTTTCTGAACATGCATCCTATAAAAAGCCATGACCCCAACTACACTTGCACAGATCACCAATTCATTTTTCCTCAGTGTCAATCACCTCTTCCTATGCCTTAGACCACTCTGCTTCTCTAACCCGTAAACATTCCTAAACCTTATTTTCAGGGAGGCTGACTTGAGAGCTGTTCTCCTACCTTCTTGCTGGGCTGCCCTGTGAATAAACCTTTTCTGTTTTGCAAAATCTGGTCACAGTTACTTGTTTACTGCGCATGAGCAGAACGAACCTGGTAGGTATCAACTGCTAATTTAAGGGAAACAACATATCATGAAAACTTTATTTTTTTTTTGTTTTTCGTCATCAACGTTAGAAGGAAAGGACGTTGAAGTAAATGTTGTTGGAGAACCCGCTGTACATTAGTTATTTCAGTTAAAGTTGTGGTTTCCAAGAACCTAACTACGATGTTAAATGACATTCTGTAATGCATTATTTGTTGTTAAAATTTTAAGTTACAGAAAGGCATAATGTATACAGATGAAAATTTTAAAATCATCCTTAATTCCATCAGTATGAGACACTGAATTTCAGTTTTTCTTTCTTTTTTTTCCTCCACCTCCTGGGTTCAAGCGATTGTCCTGTCTTAGCCTCCCGAGTAGCTGGGACTACAGATGCATGCCACCATGCCTAGCTAATTTTTGTATTTTTAGTACAGGTGGGGTTTTGCCATGTTGGCCAGGTTGGTGTTGAACTTCTGACCTCAGGCGATCTGCCCGTCTCGGCCTCCCAAAGTGCTGGATTACAGGCATGAGCCACCAGGCCCAGCCATCAGTTTTTTAAAATATTTATTTTACTAGAATTTAATAGAAGAAAAAGAAATGAAGTGAAACCAAAGCACCCCTTCTCTCTCTATTCTTCTAAATTTAAAAACAGATTGTGAAATAGTAAGAGCATGGGAACATCGTAATTTTGGTTAAACTTTGTTTTTCTCAATAGGCATGTCTTTAAATTTCCATGCAATAACATTTTGTCACCTGCCAAATTAAAATCAGAAGAGACTAATGATGGCCAAACAGACCACACACACACACACACACACACACTACACCACACACAGTTGAAAAACTTATTGACAGGAACAAAATGTAAAACCTGAACTAGGCTACAGGCTACTCTAGGCACATTGTCTATGGAATTGCCCTGCTCTGCAAGGAGGAGTACAAAAAAAGTACACTTTCTTCAGGAGAAGGTAATAAAAACAAAGGCTGATCTCCAAAAAAAAATCCAAAAAAAAACGACAAATTGCTTGTAGGAAAAAAAAAAAAAAAGATACTCATGGAAAACACATCTATTTACTATCTATTATAAATCCAACAAAATCATTAATTCAGAATATTAATCTTACTCCTTCTTCCTTATTGTTTTTGTCTACTAGGGGTTAGGCACTATTTCATACTTATTTAAAATAACAACAGCAACAAAAAACTTGCTAAGTTTTGAACATGCACATTAAGCACCTCTGATGAATGACCTAAGGTCTAGTGGAATCTTTTATAATCTATCTTGCACTTGCTTAAAATTAAGTTCCTAGTGTTAGTTACAGAGAACTTGAAGAGGACTTAACAATCTACTTTGTGAGTCACTTGCAGGCCAAAATTCAGAATCTTGCCTTATTTAGTGCACTTCCTTTTTTCACTCCTATTTAATTTTTGCTGTCGAACTTGTGTTTGAGTGACATGGCTTTCACTTGCGAAGAAGGCAATAAATTCAGCTTTGTTTTAGATGGCTATTTAGTGGTCTTTATTTCTTACTCACTAGTTTTCTGAAACCATATGCATTTTAGCTTGACCATGATTTTCTAGCATAGCTTTTGTCCCCACAAAGCTTCTAAATGCACTCTCCTTTTTTGGTATCAAAGGAGCCTTTGTCTGGATATCATCTTTTTTTTTTTTTTTTTTGAGACGGAGTCTCGCTCTGTCCCCCAGGCTGGAGTGCAATGGCGCGATCTCCGCTCACTGCAAGCTCCGCCTCCCGGGATCCCGCCATTCTCCTGCCTCAGCCTCCTGAGTAGCTGGGACTACAGGCGCCCGCCATCGCGCCCGGCTAATTTTTTTGTATTTTTAGTAGAGACGGGGTTTCACCGTGTTAGCCAGGATGGTCTCGATCTCCTGACCTTGTGATCCGCCCGCCTCGGCCTCCCAAAGTGCTGGGATTACAGGCGTGAGCCACCACGCCCGGCTGGATATCATCTTTAAGAACTTCTAGATTTTTACCTATTCAATTTGTGCAATGGCATCTATTTTCTTTTCTGTGTTTTTTTTTTGTTTTTGTTGTTGTTTGTTTTGTTCTCCTCCACAGGAAATGAAGCATCTATTTCCTTCTTGAAGTTTTTTTGTTTTGTTTTTTTTGAGATGGAGTCTTGCTCTGTTGCCAGGCTGGAGTGCCGTGGCGTGATCTCGGCTCACTGCAACCTCCGCCTCCCAGGTTCAAGCGATTCTTCTGCCTCAGCCTCCTGAGTAGCTGGGATTACAGGCACGCACCACCACTCCCGGCTAATTTTTGTATTTTTAGTAGAGATGGGGTTTCACCATGTTGGTCAGACTGGTCTCGAACTCCTGATCTGCCGGCCTTGGCCTCCCAAAGTGCTGGGATTACAGGCGTGAGCCACCATGCCTGGCCTTCTTTCAAGTTTTTATCCCAGAGACCTCTTACTTCCAGTTCTAGTTTTGATGGATTGCATCTTAGGTCTGCTGCATAGCTATCAAGTTAGGATTTTTTCCCAACTCTCTCCTGCTTTAGTTCCACTGTTTCTTGCTTCCCAAATCTTTTCCCTGGATTCCTTTATTAATTTGTTGGAGCATATCCTCAAGTAATTTTTTTTTTTTTTTCCAGAGAGTGCATGGGAGGGAAGTTTCAGAATCCCTGCTTGTCTTCAAATGTCTCCTTTTGCCTCCACATTTGCTAGATTAGGATATGGAAATTTCTTTCAAAATAATTTTCTCTATACAAAGGTTAATACAACAAATGGAAATTTCATTATGTTAATAACCGGCACCAAAATTCATCTAAGGGAAAAGATTATCTATGGGATGAAAAAAATACACTGATAAGCTCATGTGGGTAGAAGATAAAGGCAGGAGTGTTTCAGAGAGACCTGGAGGAAAAGGAAATCAGTTACACTGCTCATTATGAGACAAGAGGAGGAATCTGTACCGGTTCCAAGAGAGCAGAGGGTTGAAGAGAGAAAGAGGGGGGTCCACTACTCAATGTGAAGTGGACTGTGCTGTTGTGGTGGTACTTTTGAAAAATGTATGTCCATAAATTCTTTGAAACTCTTCTCTTCAACAGTTGGAGCTTAATTCTCCTTCCCTCAAGTATGGGTAGACTTAGTGGCCCACTTCTAATGAACAGAATCAAGCAGAAGTAATGGTATATGACTTTGAAGAGCAGGTCATAAAAAGGTACTGTGGCTTCCCTCTGGGTTGCCTTTAAGAGGGGTGACAGTTTCCACTTTCTCTTTTGTGGAATGTTTGCTTTGGGAGAAGCCAGCTGCCATGTAGAAGTCTAACAACCTTAGATTGCCATGCTAAGAGGAAGTCCAAGCTAGCCATGTGAAAAGGCAGCATCATCTTGCCCACAGCTACCCAACTGTTGCCAGCCCACATACCAGACATGGAAGTGAAGGAGCCATCTTGAACATTTCCTGCCTGTGATGGGTTAATATTGAGTGTCAACTTGATTGGACTGAAGGATGCAATGTATTGTTCCTGGATGTGTCTGAGGGTGTGGCCAAAGGATGGTAGCATTTGAATCAGTGGACTGGGAGAGGCAGACCCACCCTCAATCTGGGTGGGCACCCAGCAGCTGCCAGTGCAGCTAGAATAAAGCAGGCAGAAGAATGTGGAAGGACTTCACTTGCTGAGTCTTCCGGCCTTCATCTCTCTGGTGTGGGATGCTTCCTGCCCTTGAACTCCAAGTTCTTCAGCTTTTGAACTCCTGGACTTACACCAGTGGTTTGCCAGGGGCTCTCAGGTCTTCAGATGCAGACTGGGAGCTGCACTGTCGGCTTCTCTGCTTTTGAGGTTTTGGGGCCCTGACTGGCTTCCTCACTCCTCAGCTTGCCGATGGCCTACTGTGAGACTTCACCTTGTGACTGTGTGAGTTAATACTCCTTAATAAACTCTGCTTTTATATACATCTGTCCTATTAGTTCTGTCCCTCTAGAGAATCCTAACTAATACACCGCCCTAGAAGACGCATTGTGGAGAAGAACTGAGGCCCCAGGCACATGGCCCCAGTTGAGCTGTCCCAGCCATCTTCAGCCATCATCACTGCACTGCACTGTAGCTGACGTCTTAGGTATCTAAGAACAGAGATGAACTATCCATACTGTGTCCTGCCCAATTCCTGACCCACAGAATCATGAGTATATAAAATGCTTGTTGTTTTATGACACTAAGCTTTGGGGTGGTTTGTGATACAGCAATAAACAACTGGAACAATCATAGTTTACAAATGTTAAACTAATTATTGAAAGTGACCTCAGCCACAATCCCAGCACTTTGTCAGGGTGAGGTGGGCAGATCACTTGAAGCCAGGAGTTTGAGATCAGCCCGGCCAACAAAGTGAAACCCCATCTCTACTAAAATTACAACAATTAGCTGGGCATGGTGGTGGATGCCTGTAATCCCAGCTACTCGGGAGGCTGAGGCAGGAGAATCGCTTGAACCCGGGAGGTAGAGTTTGCAGTGAGCAAAGATCGTGCCACTGCACTCCAGCCTGGGTAACAGAGTGAGACCCTGTTTCAAAAAAATAAATAAATAAATAAGCAAATAAAGTGACCTCATGCTACCTCATCTCAATAGCTCCACTACTTAGCACAGGGGTCTGGTCTTCCAGAGGCCTGATGAAAGTTTATTGAATAAAATGACTCCTGCCTTCCTTCTTCCTTCCTTCTCTTTCCTTACTCTCTTCCCACTCACATTTAAAAGGAAAAGGCTGGGCCAGTGGGTCATGTCTGTAATTCCAGCACTTTGTGAGACCAAAGCTGGTGGATTCCTTGAGCCTGGGAGTTCGAGACCAGCCTGAGCAACATGGCAAAACCCTGTTTCTACAAAGAATAAAAAAATCAGCTGGGTGTGGTGGCAGTTACCAGGGTTGCTGAGGTTGCAGGATCACTTAAGCCTGGGAGGTGGGGGTTGCAATGAGCTGAGATCATGCCACTGCACTCCAGCCTGGGTGACAGAGTGAGATCCTGTCTCAAAAAATAAATAAAATAAAATAAAATAAAAGAGGCCCAAATGCTCAGAGTTCTGAAATGATACTCCAGGAGTTGATTTCAGTTGCTTAGGGGACCAGGGAAGAATTGGGCCTCATGGATGGTGGATGGCCAGATCTCAGTCAGAGGGTTCTAGCTTCTTCCTATTCCAAGTCCCTCCAAGCACCTCCCTTGATTGGAGATGAGGTTGTGGCTTTAAGGAACTTATGTCTGATAATAATTCCAAGGGTAAAGCTTCGGGGCACTGTGTGGGTTTTGGGAATACAGCAGCTGAGCTACGATGTTATGAGGAATTTGGAAGGAGGGAACTCTCTGGGTGCCAACAGCCTATCTGACCTTGTGCATGTCCTCCCCTCTCTGGCCTCAGTTTCCTTTTAATGAGTCTCCTTTGCCAGAGCCCACTCTGGGAAAAACCTGAGGTCATTAAAAATGGAATCTGGTAATGCCCCAAAATACCGGAAATAAACTTACCCCTCTGATGCTTCAAATTCTTCAGAAAATGTGGGCTAACACTGTGGAAAGAGCAAGTTACAAAACAGTGGCATACAGAACATTCTCTGTAACTTTATCCAGCCTCCTTGTATAGAACCAAGGTGGTGAAGGCTGCTTGCCAATGTGCTATCTGTGGTTATCTGAGTCGGCAGGAGGAAATTATTCTGGGTAATTTTTATTTTGTTTTTGGTGTGCTTCCGGATTTTCTACAGTGAACATCTATTACTTTTGATAATCAAGAAATTAAAAAAGTTTAAAAGCAGGCCTTTTGGCACATGCCCTTTGTCATGCTCAGTAAGTACACAAGTTGCTTCTGGGTAGAGGTAAAAAAGAGAGGAAACCTCCATGCAGCCTTGTGGGTGAAGACTGCAGGGTTTTCTAATTTATAGATTTTTCCCTTGCTATACAACAAATTACCACAAACTTAGTGGCTTAAAACAGCATATATTATCGCAGTTTCTGTGGGTTGGGAGTCCAGGCATGACTTAGCTGAGTCCTCTGCTCAGGGACCCACAAGGCTACACTCAAGATGTTGAGTGGGCTGTGTTCTCATCTGGATGTATGAGTGGGGAAGAATTCACTTCCAAGCACACTCAAGTTGTTGGCAGAATTCAGTTCCTTGGAGCTGTGGGACAGAGGGCCCCAACTTCTTGCTGTCCTTTGCTTGGAAGCCACCCTCAGATCCTAGAGGCTACCCATACCCACAGTTTCTTGCCATTTGGGATTTCCCAACATGTCCACTTTCTTTAACAAACCAGCAAGGAGAGCTTCTAGAGCAAGACCCTTTTTTTTTTTTTTTTTTTTTTTTAAGCAGGGTCTTGTTCTGTCACCCAGGCCAGGCTGGAGTGCAGTGGCATGATCTTGGATCACTGTAACCTCCACCTCCCAGGTTCAAGTAATTCTCCTGGCTCAGCCTCCCAAGTAACTGGGACTACAGGCACATGCCACCATGCTCAGTTAATTTTTATTTTTTTATTTTTAGTAAACACAGGGTTTCACCATGTTGGCCAGGCTGGTCTTGAACTCCTGACTTCAAGTGATCCATCTGCCTTGGCCTCCCAAAGTGCTGGGGTTACAGGCGTGAGCCACCATGCCCAGCCAAGACACTGTTTTCTAAAAGGAAATCATAAAACCCACCTCAAGGGGAAGTCAACTGAAAAGGAAGGGATGACACAAAGGTGTTGTTATGGACTGAATATTTCAGTAAAATTCATGTTGAAGCCCTAACTCTTACCCCTGCAGTGTGACTATATTTGAAGATGAGCCTCTAAGAATGTAACATTAAATGAGGTCACAAGGATGGGGCCCTGATCTGATAGGATTAGTAACCTTGTAAGAAGAGTTCTTTCTCTATGTGCATGCACCAAGTAAAGCTATATGAGGACATATTGAGAAGGCAACCATATATAAGCCAGAAAGAGAGCCCTCATCAGAAACCAAGGCAACTGATCACCCTAATCTCAGATTTCCAGCCTCCAGAAATACTCCGTGTTGCAGGGTCATGCAAAGGTTTGAAATAAGAAGGGGACAGGATTTGAGGATGTTCAAAACATGGAGGAGACCTGATTCTTGCTTGTCCTTACAGCTGGAGAAGGTGAGCGTCCAGGTGTATATCTGAAGTCAGTTGGGGGACTGGACTGAAGGAAGAGCCAGTGTCCCTGGACACCAGAAGGAAGCGTCCTGGGCATGATGTCTAATAGCAGGTGAAGGAGGTGCTTTTTTTCCATGTGGTGACCACCAAGGGAGGTGCCTTAGTTTTTTGTCATCACAGAGTCATGGCTGGGAGTAGGGCTGTGCGAGCAAGTAGACTCAGGGCGGCATGATAAAGGTATGGGAAACTTCTTGCGCTAGGGCTATGGAATAAAATTCACACCCGAAACATGTCAAATGAGATGACGTATATAAATTGCAGAGTTGTGTCTGGCACATGCTAAGGGTTTGATAAAAGAAAGCTACTATTCTGTTATCAACATCTCCTAGTTGAGTGCCTAAAAAGCCTCTGTTCTTAATTCATCCACCATCATGGGTCCATTGTTTTCCAGGCTGAAAATGATATATGGCTCGGAGGATGAGGTTTTGGTTAGAAGCCTGCATAGAAGATCATTTACAACCTAGGAGACTCTAGTTTTCCTCCTCGGCAGTGCTCTGAGTATTAACTGACTACACATCTGTGGGTCCTCTATATGGAAGGGATCCTCATACAGTGGATAAAAGCAGAGATCTTACATTCCCAGCCCCAATCAGTTATTATCATGTACTGTAATAATGTTACTGAATGCTATCCAGAACTGGGAGACGGGGTGGTATGGGTATGTTTTATATGCTTAACCAAGGATATTTGAGCAAAATATACAATCAGGGCCAGATTCCTGGGCATGCAACCTGTGGAGTCACACAAGTATCCATACTTAAAAAGGGCCGTGCTCCCAGAAGGGCCTCACATTTGTTTTGTGCTCTGCTGTCACCATCTTGAAATTCTTTTTTTTTTTTTTTGAGACGGAGTCTTGCTGTGTCACCCAGGCTGGAGTGCAGTGGAGCAATCTTGGCTCACTGCAAGCTCTGCCTCCCAGGTTCACACCATTCTCCTGCCTCAGCCTCCCAGGTAGCTGGGACTACAGGTGCCCGCCACCACACCCGGCTAATTTTTTATATTTTTAGTAGACGCAGTTTCTCCATGTTAGCTAGGATGGTCTCGATCTCCGGACCTTGTGATCCACCCGTCTCGGCCTCCCAAAGTGCTGGGTGGGATTACAGGCGTGAGCCACTGCACCTGGCTCATCTTGAATTTCTTAATAATTTTTGAACAAGGGACCCTGCATTTTCATTTCGCACTAAACCCAACAATTTATGTATATGTCTTGTATACCACATCTTGATCTCAGTTCTTAGTAGCAATCTGAATGTGAAGTTTCCAAATTTCTTACAGCCCTTTATCTTCTATGAGTCTTGATAGATGTTGAGCAACTGTCCTCCTTACGAAATTTCACAAGGCAGGGGTAGAAGATGGACATGATAGGTTTAGGGGAAGGGGAAGGAGCCAGAGCCAGGAAGAGTGTGTGAGGATCCCCTCCACACAAGGCACCCAAAGATGTATA